TAATGGTTTCCCTTAGGATTATAACAGATGTTGCCTTATTAGATCAGGACTCTCCTGAAGTAAGAAATGTCATTGGCATAATCAAGACACTTCTTGCAGTCTCTCAAAGTAGACTGTCACAATTTGCCCGGTGACATTTGACCTTAAGGAATGAAATATATCCCACTTTTCTAAGGAGAAAGTTTTCTGAAGAGTTTGAAAGAAATACTAGAGAATCTTACTCTGGGGTAACAAGCTGTATGGTCCAGCTTTTGCTGCGGCCAGAAATGGCTGCAAAATATAGGAGGAGGGAGCCCTGACAACTGCAGCACCATCAGCCAAAGAAACTATGTCTTTTTAATGGCAAAAAATAATCACAGCTTAGACACTTGGTAAAGGGTAAGTTGAAATCTGGTGAGAAGTAGCAGTTATTGGGCTCCTATTACAAGAAAAGTTACAACCATATGACACAAGTGTTAATTTGAAATGGGAGTTAGTTTAAATAAAGCAAGGTGTAATAGCAAGCTTAAAGAACAGCTTTTTAAGTGCAGTTTAGGTCCCTGGTGTTCACTGAAAATCTACAGAAGTCGAGGGTGGAAGCAACAAGAAACTGTAGCTCCAGCTTGTTTTCTCCTGACGGCCCGGTGATTTTACCGGGCCCGAGGCCGGCACCTGTAACCTGCGAGGTGGGTGCTGCGGGACGCAGGCTGCCAGGCAGGTCCCCTGGGCACCCACGGCAGGACAGCTGCCGGACGGACACACCGCGGCTTCTTCCCAACCGGAGCGTGGAGCGTGATGGCCGGCACACAGAGAGATCTCACACCAACGCACCGTCAGGACACAGCTCCAGCGGGCAGCCAGACCAGGAGCTGGGGATTGTGCTTGGATCCCCCCAGCCGGCTGCACCCAAAGTGTTTAACACCACATGAGTCAGTCATCGGTAATGTGGCAAGAGAGGGAATTTAGGTGGCTCCAACGAGTGCGGAGCAAAGTAAAGCAGCCCACACCTCCTGTCTGCCTGTCCACCCAGTCTCTGCAACCTCTTGGGAGGAGCTCGCTTTGACAAAATAACAGAAAGTTGACTTTGCGTTTTGGTGGCATAGAGCTCCTTGCAACTTTCCCAGGGCTACCAAATTTTTTCAAGGTCTGCCGGCTCTGTTTTACCGACTGCGGCGCTTGGATCTGCAATTCGCAAGATGAAACTGTCAGTACAGCTTTCACATTGCATCTAGTTTATATTAAGAACTCCCCAAAATAATTGTAGAAGATGCAACATGACATAACTGCGGAATTTCCACAGTAGCAAGTGTCATAGTTTACTTACGAGAAGAGACTATTTATACAGATGCCTGGGTTTTATGGGTTAATTCTCCTAATCTCATCTATCTCGAGGACACGTATTAATTAAAAATAAGCATGGAAAACGTCCAGCATGAATTATCTCCTGTATAGCCGGGGGGGGGGGGG